AATTTTTTATGATTCTTGCATCCAAAAATTATGTTATGAACCAAAAATAGAGCTGTGAACTAAAGGAGAAATAACAGCTTTCCACTAGAACAATTAGATGTGAACAGACTGGAACACAAACCTGTGAGGATCAGCAAATACAGGAGAGCTTGGTCCAGCTTTGGCACAGTTGCATCCTACTGTCTGGAGCAATCCTGCATACTGTTCTGCATCCCGCTGACCATCTGTATCTATACTTATCTGGCCACTTACCTACCATGTGATAGGGCTTCCTTCCTTCTTTGTATGGTATTTAAATTCTGAAATTTAAATTAAAGGCGCATGGTTTCACCTTGTCTTGGCTGAAATGGTTGTAATAAAGGTCCCATACAGTCTGTGCAGAAGCTCGGCACAGAGAATGCTGAAGCTCCTTTTCTTGACATTGTCCAACACCTAAATAGACACAGAAATGACAAAATAGTCCCTTTCTCTATATTTGCTTCCTTTCCAAACGAGGGAGAAGTTCTTTGATTTCTCACGTGGGTGCGGGCACATATCTGAAAATGGGGCAGATCCAGGGAACCCACTGTGAGTCCACCAAGAAGGAGAGAGAACTTTTGTGTGGAGGTCCAAACACATGAGCCTCCTGTCCTTGCTTACCAATGTGGGACTTGGGTCCCAGCCTGGGAAAGCTGGGGCTCCTCCATTCTTTAGCCTTCCCCTCCCTGGTTAACTCTTCCACTCATCCAGAGCATGGCTGTCCTGGGAGATCCTGTGAGAGGAAGGAACAAGTTTTCAGGTACCTGGCACCAGCCTCATGAAGGACTTTTTCTACTAGGACAGGGACCATTGAGTGGATCCCCTCTGAGTGGGGAGCTATGAAGGAAGTAGCACGTCACGATGGTAATTTCATCACTGGACATGTTCAGAGATTATGAATGACCCGTATCAACAGGGCAGGCTAGTAATTAGGATGAAGCTCATCAATAGCTGCATAGCCAAGTCTGCCTCAACAGGGACTCCCTTAAGGCTCAAGGGTGACAAAAATATGTCCCCATGCATAGGAGAGTAAGCCAGCAAGGCAGTGCGTGCCACGTCTTGTTCCACATTCATCCTATCAAACAAAAAAAACCTTCGTTCAGGTCTGTTAAGACTTCACCAGAATTAGCACTCAGAGAAAAGAGACAGGAAAAGTGAGATGACTTGTACCTGGCCAAGAGATGCGTGTGCTCAGGAGAAACACTCCTGGAGTAATCTTGTTCCTGTCACCTTCTCCCGTTTACCATCCGGTCAAGTGCTTGGCTTGAGACTTCTTCTGCATTTCCACTTCAGTTATTCAGCAGATTCAATCTGTTGACTGACCAACCTCACGGACATACTTACTACTATTGGTAGGCCTTAGGCTGCAGAGCTGACACCTGCTGTCACATATCCCCACCTGGTAGTCTTGAGAGCCAGCATTTATCTTTACAATAGCTCCCGGAGCTGGAGCACGTAGACATGCAACTATCTTTTCCTTCTCTGTCAAAGGAGACACATATTAGCTATTTCAGCAAACATATAAAGCAGAGTACTGCCAGGAAATGGGAGCCTAATTGCTAGGGTTTTTTGAGAAACAATGGATTTGTAAAAATAAAATCATCTCAATTCAGTCAAATTACAAGCCATTATCTTTTCTTTCAAGCCAAGATGTATTAGCTGTGAATCTGATTCAATTCAGTTACTAAAGCACACTGGAAATTTCTATTTGTTGAAAAAGCTTAAATAAACCAGCAGTACCTATATCTCCTAAGTAGTCAACAGGATTTAAATCTAGCTTAATAGGGGTACATTTCTTTCTTCCATTCAGAACTTTTTTCAAGACTGATAGCACCTTTTCCATTTGGAACAATAATTACCTGGTACTCTTGAGTCACCACACCATCTTTGACACGGCGTTGCATTCAGTGGCACTTCCAGTTAACTACGTAAGCTAAAATACTCCTTTGCATCTTTTTTCTCCTGGTGCCATGCATGTATTAATGTGCCCAAAGAAAAATGCCCCAGGAAATGGATGTGTGCCAAACTACCGAGTATACTTTTCCCAATCGAGCATCTCTCCACATGCCAAGGATGCTTCCCTCTCGCTTGTGGTCACATTTGCATGCTTACTAGCTAACTTCACTGCAAATAGCCCCCAAAGCACACAGTGTTTCCCTGGATGGTGGCTCAATTTAATGCAAGCAACTGCTGGAACAAGCCAGCTTTTTGATCCACAGAGCAGAGCTGTAATTTACGTTTTGTTCTGTTTTTCCTTCTTATCACCAACCCTGTCAGAAGTCACTTGATTCATTGTCGTGGCAATGGAAACACTGAAACACCGAGACAGCAACTTAGTTGACAAGGAAGAAGCAACACGACTGAACAGTTGTTCCAGGAGTCTGCAGCTGTCCCATGAGAGCTGCACTTCCAGAGGGAAAAGCTGGCTTGCTGATGAGTAGCTTTAGGTCCACAGAAGTTTTTGAATAGACCTCAGGATTATTTAACCAGGAATGAGAGCAGAGCACAGAGGAACAAGTTTTGTGGGGACTTGCACCTATAATATAATTAAAGCTAAAAGATCTGTTATTAGAGCAAGCTGATTTTTGAAACAATCTAAAATAAGCCCATGCAGAGAAGTCTCCACCAGCACCTGCACCCACACAGCACACAGAGGGAACTGCCTGGTGCTCAGGAGCCAGGACGGAGCCCAGGCAGAGCTGGAGCTCCCAGCTCAGCCATGGCAAGAGCCCATGGCACAGCACTGCTGTCAAACCAGGGAACACTTCAGAAAGGGTCTAAGGAGAAGATCCTGTAGAAAACTTGCCTAGAATCATTACTGGAAAACTATTTGAAGCAGTGAACAAAGCTCAGAATCTTTTCCAGAAAATGTGTTTCTTTATTTAAATAAAAAATAGTGCCAGTAGAGACAATAAACTTTAAATACATGAGACAATTATATACAACTTAGTGATAGGAATTATATACATCATTTACAGTTACAAATACATTTATACCAAGAAAAAAGGAAAGAGGGGAGAGCAGTGGAAAATGTGACAACTCACGCATGTCAGTCTCATTTGGAAAGTTTCAGGATTCAAGTGACTCCAGGCAAAGTGCCAAACTTCATTTGGCTTCTTTCAAAGTTAAAACAGCCCCTTTTGGAGTAAATCTACCAAAAAACTTTTTACAGTCTGATCCAAAGTTCACTGAAGTCAATGGCAAGGCTCCCATTGCCTGCGATAGGAACTGAATCAAACCCTTTACACAGCGGGGCTCTTGTTGGAGAGATGCAGTGATAACTGCAGGGCTCACCACTGCATTAACCCTTCCAGCCAAAAAACAAGAGTTCCTGCTTCTACATGGCAGAATTACCGCAGTCGCTTGCCTTGGTTTATTCCTGCTTTTCAAAGTTCATATTTTTCAAGCTGCCTCTCAAGCCCTAATGCCAGTGGATAAATCACAGAGCTATTTTAACATGGGAAATATGTGAAGACATTTTGAGAGCATTTTCCTGTGCAATGTTTTAGGTTCAGGCTCTTTAGCCCTCATGCTTCAGAACTAATCCAAATGTTGCAATAAGTTACTACAAAATATAATAATGTATGATTGAGATAATCATAACTAGCTAAAATATTAACATTAATTCTTTTAACAGTGCAATAATTTAGTAGCTAAGATCACAAGCATTTGAAATAAAATAAAATGAAAACACAGTACCATTGAAGTAGGGGAGAGGTTTGTGGTGGTTTTAAAAGGTAGGTACTCTTGACTTTATAGAAATGCATGTGTCACATGCAGGCTGATAAAATAAAATGTAAAACAGAAGTAATACAACATTTACCTACACTGGCTTAAACAGAGCAGAAAGACCAGATTCTTTAGTGATATGGATTGGTAGATTTTAACTGACTTCAAATGGAGAATTTGATTCCAGCAGAGAAGCACAAAATCTTGTGCATGTGCCCTGAAGTCAGTATCACTTAGGTGTTGACTTCAATAGGGCCAGAATTTCAACCTTGCTAGGTTAAATCCTGTTCTGAACTTTGTCCATTTTTCAAAACAAACAAACAAACAAACAAAAAAGCAGCATTTGTTCAAGCCTTTCTAGTTCTTACACATTATAACAAATATTTTTTAAAAACTTGTAGATCTTTTCTTTTAGTGAGCAAATATACACGTCTTTAAAAATACAAAAACAAAAATCAAAACCACTTTTCCTAATAGTGCCTCTGCCAAAGGCTGGACTGCTGCAGAAGTTGGCATGCCTGACCCAGCCTGCACAGGTACAACCAGAGCAAAGCATAGTGGCACAGACCTGAACTCCAGCTTTACAAGTCTCCTGGAAACCTGGGTCTCTTCCTTTTCTCCTTTTTCTTTTTCTTTTTTTCCTCTCTCTTTCTTCTCCTTTTTTCTCTTTATTTCTTTGTCCTTTTTCTTTCATTGTTTCCCCAGTACCAAAATTCAGGTTAGGTCAGTCTCCAGCTATGGTGCAATCTCCTGTCAACCACAGCACAGACAAAGCTTCAGCCCTTGAGGTCTCATTGAGCAAATCTGCTGTTGTCTGTCCTTTTTTTATATACATATATACATATATATATATGAAAAATGTTAGACGTACTTCTTGTTTATCACAGTTTATCTGTCATTTACGTGAATGAGCAGTACCCATAGGCTTTAACAACAGAACACTTGTGCTAGGGTAACTTTTCTAAACATTTCCCAGATATTTACAGAGTTCTGAAATATGCGGAGACACTGGCAGTAATAGTTACCTCATTAGAAAAAATATATATATATATACATTCTCCTTACTCTTCGCTCTTATGGAAAAAGACAGTAATGTAAAATATTAAGCATCCTGATTATGTGCAAAATTACACTTTGGATTTGGGCGACACTTCTTCCTTTTCCTCCTAGCTCTCAGGAACCTGTCGGGCTCGGGGCAGAGATACCAGCTGAGAGTCCATTGGAGAGCAGGAAAGCAGGATCACGGATTCGTCGTGGCAGATCTACTCACGCTTCTGCTGGCTGACGCAGTGGCCCCTGCCACTGCTAGGAGTTCTTGTGGATGTTTTCTGCAGAGCCCTCGCTGCTCTCATTGAGAAGCGTTTCTGACGCTTCCCCTAGTTCAGCATCCAGCACTTCCTCCTGGATGGTGAAGTGTACATCTGGGGAAGAGGACTCGGAGCTCACGCTGCTGCCTTCCATGGAGCAGATGGCACAGGACAGAGGAGGCACCATGCTCTCCTGCAGCATGTTCAGCATCATGGGGATCTGCACGGCTTTCAGCCCCGATATGGTTGGTAGAGGCTTCACAGCTTCCCCCCATTCTCTCTCCTCATCTTTGTAGAGCAGAAGCAAGTTGGACTTCTTCTCTTTTCTTTTAGATTTCATGTAGCCCAACATTATCCCTATCAGGAAGATCCCGTAGAAAGACATTACTATCAGGATGTAGAAATACTCATTGCCATTGCTCTTCTCCACGTTACGGGTTTCAGCATTGAGCATGGTTTGGGTCATGTTTGCATGGTCCATCTTCAGCATTGAAACTGCTTTACAACAGTGAAGCCTGGAGGAAAATTCGTACATGTATTTAAGATATCAAACTTTGGACCAAATACTTAAAAGAAACAGCTCCAGAAAATACCCACTTTTAAAAGCTCCAAGCTATTCTTTGTTACTTCTAATTTGTAAGCTTGCAAGACATCTCTGATTGAAGCTTGCACAGTCTAAAATACTTCTGCATTACTATTGTAGCTGAGCAAAATGTAGTTACAGATAACATTAAGGTACAAGAAAACAATATTAAATCATATCAAATTCTATTCTAAGACCCTCGGTCCTCATGACTAAAGAAGAAAGAATGTTATATAGAAATAATCTGCTAGATATTTAATCAGAATTTTTTCCTGCTTGACCAGGTTTCCAACAGGGTAAAAAAATTAGAAGTGTTATTTTACTGAAGAGGATAGAGGAGAGAGAAAAAAAAAAAAAAGCAACTTACGTTGGTATGCAAGTAATTCCTTCCTTTGCAAAGCTCAGGAGACCTTTCCTCTGCGAAATGCTAGTTGTTCTGAAAACTTTCCTCTGCTGCAGCTGGAATAAATAGCTCTCAAGAAATGTATCATCACGTGTTTTAGAGGCACAGTTTATAATAGTTTTGTGTTGGAGTCAACAGATGAACTTGAAGGATTGCAGTTCAACCCACTGAACTCTTAACAGCTGTGAAAAGAAAAAGAGTTGGGAATTCGGATTTACTCTTTCCTAACCAGTTCAGCACTGGCCCTTCCAGCTTGTAAATCTGTTCTTTTCTCTGCTATCCTAGTTGCTAAATCTAAACTGCTACCCTGAGAGCTGCTGTGCAGAAAAAAAAGTCTGCAAATCATTTGACATAAAATGTAGAAAAATATATGTGAGAATTTTATAGTTGACACTGCTACATTACTTGCATGCCTGCTATACATAGTTTCCCCTGAAGAACTGGGGGAGGAAAGTGCATTTGCTTTGTCTGAGACTGGTGATAAAGCTTCCTCGTGCCCACAAAACAGAGCGGTGCCTCTTGACTTGTGCTGCAGCACCGCTTTGCATAAGGTACAGGGCAGTGGGGTGAGTCCTGGGGCTCAAGCGAGGGGTGTTCATGCCATCTAACTTCAGGAATCGAAGGCAGCTATGGGATTTAGGTTCCCCAGGCAGCCGGGGGGAAGATGCCAGCTCCTCCAGAGGGGTAATGGAGAGCTCCTGAATTTAGGAGCCCCTTCTCCCACTATTTGTAGAAGAAGCCAGAAGCTGCATGGTCTGCACCTTCTTTATGTGTAGATAGACCACTGAACTAAGATGAGATGATGGCCATCTCGGGGCAGAGTCATGCTATCCAAACGGGCACCACTGTGCCAGGTCCCTCCAGACTTTCCATGTCAGTTTGGAGGGCCAAGGCTCGTCAGTGATGCTTGCAGAGTTCCCCATGTTCAGCACCGTGGTACCGAAGACTCCGAGACCCCTTTGCAACACGTAAGCCACAGTACAGGCCATGGGAAGCAGCAGCCCTGCTTGCACCTCGGGGATTTCACTTCCTCATCCTCCCCGTCCCCACTCCTCACACACAAAGCCCAATTAGTCAGGCCCCACATATGTGATGTGAACGTCACCCCTTCTGCAAAGCTTCAAGGATGTTTATGTAACAGGACACTTCACTTCCAGAAAATACTTGACTGGCGCTGGAGCTTTCTTACAGTAGGTCTGGGTTGTTTTTTTTTTTTTTTTT